ACCAGTGCAGAAGAAGATACGTCCCGAAAATTAAAAGACTTTGTTCAACTTTAATTTTGTGTTTGTAAATTCTGTACATTTAATTAAGTTATTGTTAATTGTTTATTAGTTTACTGTAAGTGGCTATTGTTCGGTACGAACAATACTAAGGAACGGGCAGTGTTACGACAGTGGGGTTCACGTGACGAGTATTCTAGAAGATTCACTAGTGTGTTGCGACAGCATTGCATCAACTGACGCTGGTAGCACGTGTTGAGAGTCTTAGAAGTTTCTAGAACAGGCAGTATTATCGTATATAAGTGTGCTAAACAGTGAGAGAGCCGGACGGAGTCGAAGCAATAGTGGAGACAAAGACAGAGACGTAGCGGAGGCGAAGCAGGTAGAGAGAAAGAAAGACAGCGGTTACGGTCGGCGGGAACTGAGGATAGCAGACACAGAGATCGGAACTATAGTTTGCGGGGACGAACAATTAAGTCTAAGCGCGATAGAAAGTGAGTGAATTGTTGTGAACTATAGTGTGTGTAACTGTGAAAATTAAGTGCATTACAAAGTTGTATTGAGGAGGAATAAACAAGTTTTATAAAGAAAGGACTTGTATCTTAGAAGAATTAACAAACAAACATACAGAGACGTAACAATATGATAATTTTCATTTATGTAATATTAAGAAAAAGAAATTTCTAGCAAAAGGCAGCAAAATCCCCTAATCCTGTGTCAAAATTAATGTATTATGTTTGAAAGAATATATATATGAACAAAATATTTACAAAAACTTGGTTATTTATGCATTTTATTGGGAAACAAATAAAGAAAAGGGAAGATTTTCTTTTACTTTTACTATTTTCTGTTACACAAGAAACTATCATGTGGCAGAACAAACAGAAGTGCCAGGAATAGTAGAATAATCTTTTAGTATTGTATCATTTAGTATGAAAAATACACATTTGTAAAGTTATTTTGTTGTTGTTGTTTTTTCCAGAAACTATGCCCCAGAAATAATGTTTGAGAGAAGTGGTGATGAACAGTCTCTAGCCAGTTTGATATTGGATGCAATTTTAAAGGTAAGAAAATGATATCATCGCATAAATCATAAGGTTAGAAAGTACATAGAAAATTCCTTATGTGTTTTATGTTTTCCAGTATGTTCCATAACATAAATATAACATTCTGTAATGTATAAATACTTTACTCAAGCCTCCCTGGTGGCTTGACAATTAGCCTAGGGGCTTACAGTGCTAAAATTCAGGATTCAATCTCTGTGGTGGGCATAGCATAGATAACCAGATGTGAAGAGTTGTACAAACTTGACTGAAATTTAGCATTCAAAGTCCATTTATAACCTTCACATTCTATCTTGCATCTTCTTCAGGAGATTAACACTCCACTGTTCACAGCAGTATGTTCAGTTATTCATGAGAAAAAGGCCGTTTTTCTTTTCTTTTGCTTACACTTCATCGTGCTTTACAGTTTTCACCACATTTTTTTCTTTTCTAAACCTGTGGAAGTTATTGTAACTGACATAGCACATCAAATTTTATTGGCATTTTGTCCTTCAGAAAATGTCAATTTTTTTTTACATATACATATAGTCAAACTTACCTGTAACAAATAGTAAGAAATGACTGTTTACATTTTCCCACTGACCTATGCTTCACATACACACTCAAAAAATAAAAAAATTATCCTACTCACTGTGAAGACTATACCGATCTATCCATACCCCCACCTTTTTTGCTGGGTGTAAAACAGTTGTTATCTATTACTTCTAGATTCTTCAGTTTATATAATGGTAAGATGAAAATTTTCTGATAGTTTTACTTTTGTTCACCAGAGCCCAATTGATGTTCGTAAGACACTAGCTGAAAATCTTGTTGTCATGGGTGGTAACACCATGTTACCTGGGTTTAAACATCGACTTCTGGCTGAAGTACAAAATCTATTAAAGGATCCGTATTATTCCAGCCGCCTACCTATCAAGAAGATCAAAATTCATCAACCACCAGCAAAAGAAAATTATATAGCATGGTTGGGAGGTAATTAGTTTCTACTAATTGTCTAGGGATCATTTTTGTAATGTGAGAGTAATATAGTGTATCACCCAATATGTTAGAATCACAATTCATGAAACTACTTTGCTTTCAGGTGTATCTTTCTGTATCATTTTTATGGGAAGTATAAAAATTACACATTTGAATTTGTGTTATGTTTGACATTTTGTAATTACATCAATTTTTGTTTTTCAGCCAAGTGCAGTGTTGACATAATTTTGTATTATTTGATGCAAAGTTAAAGTATATTCCTCGTGGAATCCCACCCACATAAAGTTTTGAAATCTCAGATTTAATCACTATTTGTGTAGAATTTTCTATCACCTAAAGATTTTCAAAGTTACAGGTTTTAACAAAGTTCTAGTAAACCTTTCAATATAACAGTTGTCATTTTGAACTTAATAATCAGTATCTGTTAATTCAAAAAATTTTACATTTGGTCATTACAGGTGCTATTTTTGGAGCCACGGACGTTGTGACAACCCGGTCTATCACTAGAGAACAGTATTTGAAACGAGAATACATTCCTGACTGGTCAGATCAGATGTGGACTAGTCATTCTGGACGAGGTCGTAGTTAAACAAGTATATAGTTGATGACACCATGTGAAAATAAACCTTTTTCTCATGTCAGATATGTAATATTTATTAGATGTATTTTATTTAGTATTATCATCACTAAACTTGCAGATTAGAAAAAGCCAGCTTGTTTACCAATACACCCTCATTCTACAAGTAATTTATCTATCAAATAAAATGTACACTAACCACAGTGTGTTGTTGTTTAAGTCTCAACTACACCTTCTATAATCTTCTTACATCATTAACTATATTGTAAATTCTGTTTTATTTTCTTGCTAATGTACAAATTCCTTTTTTCACAATGTTTAATAACATAAGTTTGTATTAATAATTTTCTTTTGCTATTCAACTTTAACATAATTCCAAAACTTAGGCCCGGCATGGCCAGGTGGTTAGAGCGCTCGACTCGCAATATGCAGGTCGCGGGTTTGAATCCTCGTCACACCAAACATGCTCGCCCTTTCAGCCATGGGGGCATTATAATGTGACGGTCAATCCAATTAGTCATT